TTTAATAGTTCCATAACCACAGCTGGGCTCAAATATTTCTATTCCTAAACAGTCACAGTTGCATTCTTTATTAACTCAAGAAAATCTGAACTTCCTGAAATCAATCAAAATACCTAGCAGGAAGGAAATGGTGACACAAATTTAGGTACTGTGAAGTATCACACAGTCATTAAAAATCAAGTTTTCATTAATATTTAACATGAGGTATATTTACTGCATGAAACTTTTTTAAAAGCACTATCTCACCTTTACTCAGTGTTCATACATGCATATGAAAGATTAAAATCAATCAAAATGTTAATACTTTCAAGTGATAGGATTACAGGTGATTTTTTAAATTTTCTTACTTATAAATGTAGATATTTAAAAAGTTTCCTAACAAGGGTAGCGCTGTGGCATGTGATGTAGTGTCGGCATCCCACATGGGCACTGGTTCTAGTTCTGCTGCTCCTCTACCCATCCAGCTGTCTGCTTATGGCCCGAGAAAGCAGTGGAAGATGGCCCAAGTGCTTGGGTCCCTGCACTGTGGGAGACCCAGAAAAAGCTCCTGGCTTTGGATGCGGCCATTTGGGGAGCAAACCAACAGATGGAAGATCTTTCTCTCAGTCTCTCTCTCTCTCTGTAACTCTGCCTCTCAAATAAATAATTAAAAATAAAAAAATTTTCTAACATGCAAATATATCACTTTTATAATTAGAAAAACTAAGAAGTTCATTGCTTTGACAGACTGAACAGTTTCACATTACACTGATCAACTAATACTTACAACAATTCATACTTGACTCCAAGGATTCATCCTTAGAGCATTTTACAGACTTTACAAAGGGCAAAAAAGAACTGTTTGCCAAGTTATTTAAAACAGCAAGGAATGCAGTAACATGTGTAAATGTAAAAAACTGCTAAAAGACCATTTATACACTCTTAAAGAACAACAAAATTACCTCTAAGGCCTCCTAATTCATAACACAAAAGAGAGGCATACTACATTTTGTAATCTTAAGTATATGACCTTCTTTAACTGGACAAATGCTACTACTACTTAGCTGCATATAACAATGAAGTGTAAACAAATGAAGCTTTCATTATCTTATTTGAATGAATTAATTGATTAACATGTACTATCTAAGAGGCCAAACTTTCACATTACATTCTATACTACAAAAACAGTCTCAACTTCAATATTGGTATTAATAATTTTTCAAACTCCTCTGAACTATGAAGTGCAAATAAACACTATTTATTAGTAACAACTTTATGTTCCTTTTCTTCCTTTTGCCTTCTAAAGCCAGAGATATACTAACAGCTGTAAAACAGCTGGCTGTCCCCAAAGTATTAAACAGAAAGACTTGGTCAAGTATAAGCAACACTTCATAAATCTGTTATACCTTACTTCATAATTTCTCTGTAAGAAAGTAACATGGAGAATGAAAAACAAATTAATAGTAAATCCCCTGTTCTGTGTAATTTACAAGATTATTCAGCTCTTCTGCATGTACAGTCCAGGTAGTTCTATACAACAATTTCCTACCCAAAGAAAGAGAAAAAGATTATTATAAAGAGCAAAGCTGTTCCCCAAATGTAGCAATATAACTGCAGGTAGAAGAAAAGAAACACAAAACAAAAACTGTTAACTGTCCCTATTTGTCCTTAGAGTCTTTTCGTCTTGAGTACATCACAAATGACCTTAAAACCCCTCTTTCACCAACAGCAGTCAATTTGTGGGTTTCACCTAACAGTAATCTTCGTATCATTCACTGTCCATGCTACACAGGTGGAGTTCACCTGGAATTACATATGGAGCAGTATTACATCTAGAGATTTGTTCCTGACATGATTTTGCATGCCTTTATAAACTAATAACTGAAGTTATCTCCAGGACTCCACGATACAGATCTTAAGAGCCTCATCTCTCTCGGAGACAGTCATAGAGTATGTCTCCTGGACTCTGAAGGCTAAGAAAGGCAAATGAGAGAACACTACAGCATGTTCATTCAAACATTACTCCTCTGATTCACATCAAGCCTGTCAAACCTTTGAAGACAGACAAAACCCTGGACAGTACAGATGGTGAGGAATAGTTTTTCAAAGGTAAGGATAAAATGTTTACCTGACAGCCACTAACTCTACAAAGCGGAACAAAAGCTCAGGAGCAAGACAGATGGCAACAGCCAGTAAGAGATTTCTTAGGGTGGAATTACTGGGTCCAAACCCATATGGTTTCCAAGAGTATGACAACTATTAGTCTCCCTTTTTGGAAAAGTTTTCTGGTTTTGTATAGAAAAGAAATTAAACACTATCAACAAAAAGATGTGAAATGACATGTATTATAATGCAGGAAAGCTTACAAACTAGAATAAACTTTTCCACTATCAACAGTTTTTAAGTAGAAATTTCCTTATTATTTTTCACGTTAAAAACAGTTTCTCTTAGGAAAAGTTCTACTTTAAAAATGTAAATTGTGCATTGAACTGTGGTATGGTATAATTTTCACTCTTGTGGACAGTAATACTTTTAAAATGGACTCAGGGAGTAGGCGTTTAGCCTAGCAGTTAAGATGCCTGCATCCTTGGGGCAGGAGTTCTTGCAGAGCAGGTTAAGCTGCTGCTCAGGTGCTCCACTTCCCATCCAGCTCCCCACTCACACACCTGGGAAAAGCACAAAAGTTAATCCAAGTACTTGGACCCCAGCTACCCATATGAGTGACCCAGATGGGGTTCCTGGCTTCTGCCTAGCCTAGCATGACCCAGTCCTGGTAGCTTGGAAAGTGAACCACCAGCAGATGGTGATTCTCTGAATGAACCACCAACAGATGAAAGATCAATCTCTCTCTCTCTCTGTCTCTTTCTCTCCCTGTAACTCTGCCTTTCAAATACATAAAATAAATCTTAGATGACAAAAAAAAAGATGTCCATATCCTCTATTTACAGTGCTCAGGTTCAATGCCTGGCTCTAGTTCCTGACTTCTGCTTCCCACCAACTTGCACCCTGAGAAGAAATGGCAATGGCTGAAGTAACTGGGTTCCAGTCACCTGGGTAAAAGATCTTGCTTATGTTCCCAGGTCCTAGTTTCAGCACCAGTCAATTCCCAGCATTGGCAGGCATTTGGGCAGCAAACCAGGAATGGGAACTCTCTTTCTCTCAAAGTACTCAAAACACAAGAATATAAATGAAAATATGCTATAAATTCGCTTCCCACTCTATTTTTATGATGAAAACAAAATAAGAACAAAACAGATAAATATCTGCATTTTACAGATCAATTTTATAATACATAATCTGAAATGAGCACTAGAGACTTTTGCTTAAGCTATAATTTACCTTACAGTAACTTTATGCCCAAATGGTATATAAAAACTACAATATTTATTAAGTTTGCACATACATGTAACCATAAATATTTTCTTGTTTTGGAATACAATGCATTCATTCTAAATTCTAAATTCTGCTAAAAATGGTTAAATTGATTTAGTAAGAAAATTAACATTACTCCAACTCACAAGCCTAGCTCTTTGCCTGGTAATAAGAAAACATGCTAGTGAACTTCATTAGTGCACTTTAGTCAACATTTCTTTCTCACTTTCTGATAGTTTCTCACACCTACTTTTAAAAAAACTCAAACATTTGAAACCTTTAATTAGTACCAAAACATTTAATTCTGAGTATACCACACCTATTTATTCACATAAAGTAGGAAGTTGCTGCATATTGACAATGGTATTTCTGGGCCTGAATTCTACAATCAGGTGAATTTTCTTAAACTTTAAGAATTCAGAGGGATCCCCAAGTACTCTGGGACTAATATTCTTAATTAAGACAATCGTATTAAGGTAGTTAAGTCTTTCCTGACGGCAAACTGCACTTCAAAATAAAATGATTAAAAAAATAAACATGCAAATGACCCCTTTCCCCTCACACGATGTTCATGAATCTGAGAAGGGAAAATTAAGATCTTTCGCCAGTTTTACTTTTCACAATCTTCCATCAATTGCTGTCTACCTTGACGTCTGCCTGTTACTGTAGCGACATGAGCAAGTATGTCAAGTTTTTCTGTTACAACAGTACAACTTAATTGCTTGCTATTGGCTATCTGAATCAGATATGACATCTAAAGTCATACCCTATCTACATACTCAACCCGCAAGCGTGGATCTCAACGTAACGTCAAAAAAGGAAAGTTTCTGAACAAACACTGTTTGCTGTCACTAAAATCGATAGAGTAGAACGCCTCGGTGGGTGACTATAATCATCCTTCTGGGCTTCCACAGCTCAGAAATGGAAAATCAACGTCCAGTTTGTTCTCGCTGGCTCGCTTCCTTTGGACCCCCAGGAGAGGCGAGGCAATTCCTGGCTGCATACGAGTTAGTGAAGTGCTTAGGAAGCTCGCGGGATGAAAGATGCTATCATCACACTCGAGGTGATTAGTGAATGAGCACTGGGCATTTCGCGGAACCGCTGTCACTGCACCAGGACGGCCTGTGGCAGAACCCTTCCTGGGAGAAAGGAGGGAGACGAGGCAGCCCTCTTCGCACCCCAACAGCTAGCCAAACCAGCTCATTTTTAAGCCGCAGAGAGACCACACGTGAAAAGTTACACACACACGCCCCACACAAGGAAGACTTCCAGCCTCCATCCGCGTAGGGCTGGAGTCCCGGGACCCTGCAGCGGAGCGGAGCGCCGAGGGTCGGGCCTACACCCCAGGCAACGTGGGGAGCCGCCGGGGCGCCGCCGGGGCCCCCGCGCAAGCCGACGCCCGCGGGGCGGCTGGGGGCGCAGCTCTCGGGCGGGGGCGCGGCGCCGGCCCGGGGCGCCGAGCGCGGGGAACGGCCCGGGAGGGCGGCCGCGGCGCCCCGTGGCCGGGCAGGCTCGAGCCCCGCGGCCGGCGGGCGTGGGGGAGGGGAGGCCGGGCCTGCGGCCTGTTGGGGGAGTTCAGCCCGGGCCTCGCGTGCGGCTCTCGGCCGGGCCCCCGGCCCCGGGGTCCCGGACGCCGCCAAGAGACTCACCGGAAAGGCCCGGATCCGCATCTTGGTGTCCTTCCGGCTGCCCGTGCCTTTGCTCAGATTCGACATGGTGCTCGTCCCCTCCCCGGCGGCGGCTTCAGGTCGCTCTCCGAGGCGCCGGTGTCACATTTAAGGCGGGCGGGCAGGCGGGGGGCGACGCTGGGGGCGGCGGCGGCGCGGCCCCCGGGCTGGGCTGGGCAGCTGGCCGGCCCCTGGGCGGCCGCGGCGGCGGCGGCGCGGGCTCCGGCGACGCGGGCTCGGCTGAGGGGCTGCGCTGGCGCGGCGGCTCCGCGGGATGCCCCTCACGCCCGGGTCGGCTGCCTTTATCGCGCTCCTCCGCGATGGCGGCGGCGGCGGCGACGGACAAACATCTCACTGCGCAGGCCGAACGTCCTCCTCCTCCTCCTTCTCCTCCTCCGCCTCAGCGAGACGAGATCCGGCCCAGAGGGTGGAGGGGGGAGGAGGGAGGGAGGAGAGCCGGAGAGTGGAGAGGTTGGGGGGAGGGGGGTGGGAGGACGGGAGGGGGAGGCGGGCGGCCGCAGGGACGCTCGGATCTCGCGAGAGCGCAGCGAGCGCGCTGCCCTCGGTGGGGCGGGGCGAAGCCCGGGAGCGGGAGGGCGCGCCGAGAGGGGAGGAGGGGGAAAGGGAGTTGGGAGAGTGGGCGGGGCCAGCGGGGCGGGGAGGTGGGGAAGAGGGCGGGGCGGAGGGCGGGAAGAGTAAGCTGCCCTTTTGAAAGAGGAGCGCCGGAGACCGGATTCCGGGAGGAGGTGGTTGCTGATTGGTGGAGGGTGAGGCGGGGGAGGGGGTTCTTAGTCACGTGGGCGCAGTGGGCGGGGGAAGTTCCGAGGGCCGGAGCTGCGCTCTGGTGGGGTGGGCGGTCCCGCCTGGGCCGGGTGGTGTGGGCAGGAGGTTAGTGCCTGGGAGGAGCGTGGGGTGCGAGATGGGTCACTACGACTGAGAACTGGTTCCCGTGTTTTTCTAGGGCATGTAGACTAGGGATGGGTACTTGAGCGCGAGCCAGAACTTGAGCGTCTGTGCAGGTGTTACCTGCCGCGAGTCCCGCGGCTTGCCCGGGGGTTCAGGCAGAGCGTGCGCGCTGCGGCGCTCTGGACCGAGGGTGGCCAAGTTAGCCCTCCTTAAACTGCACAAGCCCCGGGCCTCTTTATTCACCGACAGTCTGGGGACTGGGGGCCCCGGGGGGAGGGGGGTCCAGTGCTTATTGATGTCAAAACCTGCCTTTTTCCTTACCGCTGTCATGACCTGACAACTTCCTTAATAGGGCGCAGTAGTTTGGTAAATGGTGTTAAATGCAATGTTAGCGATCTGCTCTAACCTGCCAAGTGGATCATTGTAGCATTCCCTGAACGTGGTCGGTTTTCAAGGCCAAGCTTACCGTTTCTAACAGCTTGCTGTGTATTTGGAAGGATTTTTTTTTTTTTTGGTTTTTGGCTTTTGTTTTCTGCTTTTTGTCGTTGTGTAATCAAAACCTCCGGTTTGAGTCACCTGCTTTGCTTTTTGATCTATTAAGAATTGGACTTCCTGGCATCCCTACTTGCCCAGTTGCTGTTATAGTTGAGTTTCCAACTGCAAGAGAATATCTGTGTTCCTACCAAGGCTTGTGCTCTTCCAGTTCTGTGCATTTGGAAGCTGCGACTTGTATCCAATTTTGTAGCAAACTTAAGTAAACTGAAATATGCTTGTTTGTTGACTGACTGTAAGGTTGACCTTTCCTTAAATTAATCCTGATGACCGAATTTATGGCTGCTACTTTAAGTGCATACTTATTTGAAATACCCCCTTGGATATAACTATATTTTCTTGTTTGGTTTTTTATATTAGCTTATCAAAACAGGAACCCAACCAGTATGTTACTTGAGGAAATATCTGTGTAAATAATGAAGCTAAAAATAGGTCAAGACAGGGGTTAAGAAGGTAAAATTGTGAGGGACACTGACGTTGGTATGGATAGGAGTTTATAATCTGTATGCTAATTTAACCTCCATTTCCATATTCATTAGAATGGTAACAGGCATTACTATGGTAACAGCCAATTTTTTTATTGATTGCCCTGCAATATAAGAATATATGCTCTAGAGCTCTTGGTTTGGATCCCAACTCTGCCACTTTAATCGTTGTGTTATGTGTCTTTTAAGGCAAAGGTTTGACTGTACCTAAAGCAATTGATCTGTAAAATGGAGACAGTAATAATACTTCCTCCGTGGGATACTATGAAATTTGAATGCATGAATACATATTTGAAAGCCCTAACAGCAGTGCAGAACAGCCATTCAACATTTGTTCACTGTTATTATTGTGAGCATTAAGGCCAAAGTTATACTATACATCTTCCTTTATTCAATATACAGGCTCCTGAAAAAAATAAATAGATGCGTTTGTAGTGAATCATATTTTAAAACTAGCCAGGGGGCAGTGTTGTGGCACAGAGGTTTAAGCTGCTGCCTGCAGTGCCAGCATGCTCTATCAGATTACCAGTTCCAGTCCCAGATGCTGGGCCTCAGACCCTGCTTCCTGCTAATGCACCTGGGAAGGTAGCAGATGATGGCCCAAATGCTTGTGCTCCTGCTACCCACATGGGAGACCCAATTGGTGTTCCTGGCTCCTGCCTTCCATCTGGCCTACACCTGGCCATTGGAGCTATTTGGCAAGTAAACCAGCAGATGGAAGATAGAGGTGTATGTGTGTGGGTGTGTGTGTGTGTGTGTGTGTGTGTGTCTCCTTCTCCCTCTCTCTCTTTCTTCTTTCTTTTTTTTTCTCTCTCTGTCAGTCTACCTTTCAAATAAATAAATCTCAAAAATAAAACTAAGGCAGTCTCCAACATTTGGAATTCACAAAACCAGTAAGATATTTTTCGATAATCTGGGAATCAGTATAAAGTTGGCAACTTTTCTTTTGGTAAGTGAGGGTATTAAAATGTATTTTAACCTCAGAAATCGGGAAGGTCAATTTTTGAAAAAAGGACAGTTCTTGAAATTGATTAATTAAGGCTTGTGATAAACAATGCATTGCAATGATTTTTTTAAACCTCTCTGTGAACCTGATAAAACATCATAGGCCAGCACTTAGGAACTCACTGCATTATATTTTTGGTAATTGTAAAGCATATAATCAATCTTTCATTTGTTTTGTGAACCCAGATTTTCATATATTGGTGTTGCTTAAGCAAAATTTTTCTGCATTTAAAGGAATCACCATCAATTTTGATTTCCTTTAGGATTTTAATCACCAAGAACCAGAAAAAAATCTTCAAAATGAATTTGTTCTGTGAATTTAAGAAGTACTTGGAGCACCCATGTCCTATACTGGAGCGATCCACTTCTGGCCCACCTTCAGATTCTACCTTCCTGATAATGCAAACTGAGAGGCAGTAAGTGATAGATCAAGTACTTGGGTCCCTGCCTGCCGTGTGGGAGACCTACATGGATTTCCCAGCTCCCAAATTCAGCCTGACCCAACCCCAGCTGTTGCAGGCATTTGGGGAATGAATGTACACATGGGAGATCGCTCAGTCTCTCTCTGCCTTCTGAATAAATAGCATAAGTAAGCAATTCTTTAATGAATTTGTCATCAAGAAATTTGCTGCACATTTATTTATTCATTTTTTCAAAATTTATGTGCTGAATGGCTCCAACCTTGCCATACTGTGGTGGATATCACAAATGAGACCTGCCATCACAGAATATACAGTCATTTCTCACATCTCAAAATTTAAAACTATACAGGCAAATTGGATTTGGCATTAATTTCCTATGCACTTCAGTCCAGAAGTCAGAGATTTCCCTTGCTAGGGAAGCAGCATCCTCAAGATGTATATGATATTTTCTGTAAAGCAAAAGTAGACTATTCTATGCCCAGTCGTATCCCCTGACTTGCAAATAGCAAGTGAATTTTCAGTATATTAGCTTTTCTACAAACTGCCACCTGATCTAGCAGAGCAAGCAGAGCTGGAATAGGAACTCACTAGATCTTGCATGCCTGCCGGTTGGTATTCCTACTCATGCTGACAGTGTCCTGACGCAGGAAAACTGTGGCCCCATTTCTATTTATTCACATAGAGCACGTGTAGTCAGGGAGGTTGGATGGCGAGGTGGGCCACCCTCTCTTCTACATCCCAGTTTGTGAAAAGGGGCACTAGGCAATGTGAGGAGTCTGTAAAAAGAAAAAATACCTCTGCCTGGCTGCTAGTTTCTGGGTACCAAGGATACTAAGCCACTTTCATCACTGTTTCAGACCTGCTGGTTTGATGGTAAAGATACTGGTTATTAAAACAGCTCAAGGCCTGCCAATTCAATTAGAAAGAACTGTTCAGTGGTTTTGACTACATCAACACAGTGTTAGAGTAAAAAGCATGTTTTTCCAAATGGAAGGCAGAGGTAGAAATATTATTGGCTCCAGGAATGGAAGAGCTTGATCTTTTATTTCCTTTTTTGGCCCACTAGGAAACATGTAAGTATAGTAGCTCACTAGCTGTGGCGATGCAGATATTTAGGGTAGTTGTGTGTGTGTGTGTGTGTGTGTACGTGCATGTGTTATACGTTGACAAGTTACTGAAGAGCTACAGGAGTTTCCCCTTGGAGCACATAAAAGACAATTAAATACATGGGAACTGTAGGCCTTCATCATGTACCTTTTCTTATTTTTCCTTAGTATTTTCTTTATGTCATTGATACAAAAAGCATAGGAAACAACTCAGCATATGAGACAAGTTAGATCTCACACTAAAGAAGACACTATCTCATTATATCCCAAAAAACTCTTCTCAATTTTTCATCACACTATCATGCAAAACAAAACCATTTCACTGGCACCTCTGAAACCTTTCTAATTGACAATGTTTTGTTTATTCCACATTAACCCAGTAAATTATTTTGGAAATAAAAATATCAATGTAAATAAGTAACCTAATTTAACAGAATATAAATCTCAATTTAAAAGTGAAGGCTTTGCATCCATACAATTTTATTTTGAAGAAAAAGAATTTCCTCTTCTTGGTACTGTTGCAACAATAACTGCATCAAGAAGCCTCCGGGGGACAATCAAGACTGTATTGCTTTCACTCATGACAAGTAAAGTGCAGGCTGAAAGTTTTAACTCCTCAGCTCTCTGTCTTTGTGAAGGAAGTGAATTTTGGAACTGAAATAAAGCATGATATCAAAAATCTCTAGAAGTAAGTAGTTCACCTTTTATGCTAGATTTAGTAATTGAATGAATTATAAACAATTTAATGTGAATACAAATGTAATAAAAATCACATTATATTTAAACTTCATAAATAAGCTCTTTGTCTTTAGTTCATAATAAAACTTCATTCTTAATTTTGTATTGATAGAAATTAAAATCTAACTAAGTCAAAGGAACCCTGGTAGAAAGAGAAGAGTAACCATTAAAAAACTAAAAAGAAAGTTGTTGGGTTATTTCTGGCCCAAAATTGATATATACTGAATTAATTCCATAGGGATGTTGCTTTTAAGGCGCTGATTTCTGAATCCCCTAATGCTTGAATGGCTGATTATTCAGCAGAAGACCCAATGAATGGGCAGTTCTGAGACAGTGTGTGCACAGACACCTTGTTATGATAAAGCCAGCAACTTTACATCTAAGTTAAAAACCTGTTCAAGAATGTTCACGGCCAGCACCGAGCTCAATAGGCTAATTCTCTGTCTGTGGCACCGGCACACCGGGTTCTAGTCCCGGTCGGGGTGCCGGATTCTGTCCCAGTTGCCCCTCTTCCAGGCCAGCTCTCTGCTGTGGCCAGGGAAGGCAGTGGAGGATGGCCCAAGTCCTTGGGCCCTGCACCCCATGGGAGACCAGGAGAAGCACCTGGCTCCTGGCTTCCGATCAGCGCAATTAGCCGGCCGCAGCGGCCATTAGAGGGTGAACCAATGGCAAAGAAATACCTTTTCTCTCTCTCTCTCTCTCTCTCACTGTCCACTCTGCCTGTCAAAAAAAAAAAAAAATGTTCACTTATGAGACCATCAGAAATGAGACTTCTCTGCTACTGAAATTCTCATCAAGGAGGAATAGGATCTATCTCTACATGAATATTTTTTGAGAAACAAGGCTTTTCATGGGTAGCTTGTTAAGGCACATGCTTTTATTCATTACAACACAATGTTTCTCCTTTGGGGGAGGTGGGCAGTGTTTTCTAGTAGCACCCTGAGCTCCTATTTTAAAGAAATCAACTGCTGGCTGTTATCTTGATGGGTAGAAGTTTCCACCTCCTATCACTTTAGACAAAATTGCTTGATCTTCCTCTCCTCTTCCTAGCTCAGCCTGGAAGTGGAGGTATGATATATGGGTGATTAAGCAAACCTTCTACAAACTCTGGCCCTTGAGTAGGCAACAGAGAGACACAGGACAGTTGAGCAGCCCAGTAGCCGCAGTGGGTGGCCTAGGCTCTTCCCTCTGGAGGAGGTTCACCACGATTCTGGCATCATTTCCAGCTGCCCTCTAGCAGCAGGGAACTCTGCCCTGTTTCTAGATACAAGAGCCTGAGGGGAGAAGTGGCTACTAGAAGTTCTGTGACTCTGGGAGAGGAAGGGCATCGGAAAAAATGAGGTCTGAGAAGGGGTCCAAAGTTACTGGCAATCTCTGATGTATAGTAGAAAGGCAACCGGCAGACAAAACACCATGGTTTCACTCTTCTCTGGCTGATGCTTTCCCTTGAATGAACCAAACTAGAAGCCAGAGGGCAAAGGGAACCATTAATAGAGTGCATAAAAGTTAGCCAGGGCATAACCTTCCAGGGTAGAGAAGGGTTGAGACTAGATCTGTAGAGGCTAACAAGGAATATCCAAGCTAAAAGCTTGTGTTGGCTGATAAAATTTTTTAAAATCTATTATTTTCAAGCCCTTCATATAGTTACAGTATCTGTATACTGCATGGCGGGAACTAGCTGAAGATGCAAGTGAAAGCTGGTAGCCAAGGCATGTGCCTGCAGGTGCCCTCATCACCTAGAAGAAGGAACTCATTCTTTCCCCCTAAGATTTATTTATTTTTTACTTGAAAAAGTTACACAGAGAGAGGAGAGGCAGAGAGAGAGAGAGAGAAAGAGAGAGAGAGGTCTTCCATTTAATAGTTCACTCCCCAACTGGCCACAACAGCCAGAGCTGCACCGATCTGAAGCCAGGAGCCAGGAACTTCCTCCAGGTCTCCCATGTGGGTGCAGGGGCCCAAGGACTTGGGCCATCTTCTGTTGCTTAAGGAACTCCTTAATCAGCAATGCTAACCATACTCTAAAGTGTGAAGCTGTAGGGATTTCATTCATTCAGGTGGTGGGTGGGGCCTTTTAACCTTTTCTAATTTGCGCATAATATAGTCTAGTACTGGTATGCATTGCCATCACAGTCATATTTTAAATCTTAAAATATTATATCCCTGTGATTAAGAGTGTCAGTTCTGGTGTTAGACTGTTTGAGTTCTAATCTGGATTCTGCAGAATATTAAGTGAGTCCCTATTTGTTCTTACTGGCAAAACTAGGTTAATAATGCTACCAGCTTCACAAGACTAGGATGAGAACTAAGTAAAATAATGTAATGTGTTTAGCACAACACCTGGCACAAAGAATGTTGGCAGTTATTGAAGTGACCATTTCTAATCTCATTTTTGCCTTTGCTGTCTGGGTTTGCTAAATAGTAAATGAGAGTTTCCTAGTTTTTGCATTCATGCAACTGCCACAGCATCCTGTTGGTCTTTCTCTTCCGTAGTGCCCATTCCTCTCACCCTCTACGCAGGACCTCCTTGTCATTCATATCTGATACCTGTTCTTCCTTCCTCTTTGTCACTTCACTTTCCAATCACCACTCATCTTCATTGCAACACTCATTTCTCCAGGCCCGTGCACTAGCTGGCTCTACGGACTTGAACTCCCCAGGTTATCTATTCTCCCAGGAAGACTCAGGAGCAGCAAGGCTCCCAGGAACAACTGTAAAGAAGACATAGTAATGGCATGTAGCTCTAAAGACAGATCATCATCTCTCTACCCCCTCTGGACTTTTGGGACTAATGTAATGCCATACCACTCCTGCTTTATAAAAAAACAAAAGGGGGGAATGTTAGGAAACTGGCACAGTTTTATCTATGGCACGTTACATCCCAAGCTCTAGCCCCTGCCACCATTGCTGGAAGCCAGGTGGCCACATGGCCCAACCTCCGTGGTCAAGCTCCACCCCCATCCTAATGGGATTCACTGCTCCTGCTTCCCTGGCCGCACTCAGGCAAAGTTTTAAAAGGGCCTGTTCTTGAACACGTGGCTCTCTTGCCTCCTCTCTCTTGGCTCTCTCTCTTGGCTCTTTCTTGGCTCCTCTCCTCTCGTCTCCTCTCTCCTCTCTGTCTCTCCTCTTACAGTCTCCTCTCTTTTTCCCTCTTTGCCCCTTCCCTCCAGTCTACTGAGTTTTCCCCAATAAACCCTTTTCCTTAAAAAAAGAAGACATAGTAATGGGACTTCAGCCTTGATGTTCAAGTTAGGTCAAAATCTGCAATAAACTTTAAATTGCTAAATCACCCTCACGGTGCTTAAACTAAGATTTGGCTCCACCATGATTCCAGTATGAAAACTAATACAATTATTTCAAGACAAAACAATGAATGAGCTTTTGAATGCAGAAAGGAAGATATCCTATCGCTTCTCATGAGCATTCTATTTTTATTAAAGAAATTCGGGTATTTATTTGTTTATTTTATTTGACAGAGAGAGAGAGAGAGAGTGAGATTGTTCTCTCAATCACTGGTTCACTCCCCAAATGCCTGCAACAGCTAGGCCTGAATTAAGCTGAAGCCAAGAGCTAAGAATTCAATATTGGTCTCCCACATGAACGATAGGACCCAATTATCTGAGCCACCATCAGCTGTCTCCCAGGATGTGCACCAGCAAGAAGCTGGATTTGATAGTAGAGGTGGAACCAGAACCTCCAATACAGAAAGTGGGCACTCCAGAAAGTGCCTAAAGCACTGTATCAAATATGCACCCCTCATAGTCATTTGTATATTATGTTCTCTTTTTCTAAAATACCAAAATTATAAACTTCATATTTATGAATTATATGGATTTCGATTCATCATCATTTGTACTCCTACATTCCTTTTCCCACCTTGATGACGATTTTGCCATGTACAGAAAGCAGCAACACTGAATCTTATATCATCTTATATATTATATCATCAATATAACATATATATAACACATATATAATCTTATATCATCACAATAACAGAAAATTTACAAGTCTGATGTCCATGCTAAGCACAGAAAATTAAATTTTCCTTGAAGATATGATCAAAACTATGGTGCTATATTATTGGAAGTACTTTTGATGACTACTGATAACAAGGCCATTCTTCCTGTAACTGCATCCATGCATGTAAGAGTTATGGGAATCGTCTATGTGGCTTTGGTTTGATCAGTTGTTCACTACTTGTTTTGGGGGAATTTACGCAGTCACCACCCAGTGTTATACTAATCAGTGCTATATGGTAACAAGAGACAAAGGGCAGAGATAGGCAACTATCCCAAAATAAGTAAATAGAAGAAATATATATGGCTTCTTAGAACAAGACAGCTGACTCTCTTCTATATCAAAATCTGATACTCTTTGAACTCAAAGAATATTAACAGCTACAATATGACTATATCAAAGCAATTAGTAGGTGAACAACTGAATAAATACATTAAATTAGATGACTATTAACAATTATGGTTGCCCATGAAAATTATAGTGCATCTGAATCAGCTAAATTACTTTCCACAGCAAGTAACTGAAAACCCAACTCCATTTGGCATAAGCGACATCCAATCAATTATTTCACACAACGTGAAGTTCAGAATTAGGACAACTTTGAGGTTGTTACATTGGACTCTACCCAAATTTGTGGCTATCTTCTTGGCCCTAATCTTCTCCTTGGGCTGGTGACAAGGTGGCTACAATCATTAGAGGTTATCAGAGACTCAAAGCAGCCCAGAGCAGAGGAAGAAGAGAGAATGTCTCTTTCTTTTGGGTCTGTGTTAAGACCTAGTAAACTGTTTCTAGAGGAAATCCCAGGAGATGCTTTCTCATAGTTCATTGGCCAAGGCTAATTTACATGCTGAATTAACCCATGCAATGCTGAGAGGAATGAGCATGGTTAATACACCATTGGAATAGATCTTGTGAGTTATAAGATCTTATTACAACTTATTATCACAGACTACAGTTATTTATCTCTGATGAGATTTTATGTGGAAATCAATCTTGAGGGTAAATGGAGAGCAAGTGTGTGTGTGTGTGTAATGGAGAGTTTGGCTAATGAAGAGGCATGATCTCTGCTGAAAGGATAGGACTCATACACAGATAACATGATCACAGAGAAGTACTGCACAGAAAGATGAAGTTTATCACAAAAGGACGCCATGAGCATGTACATTTACACAAACAGCTGTACTCTAAGAGATTGTGTAGGCTTCCCTTTCAGAGGCATTTATTCCTGGTTATCTGCTTTTATGTGAGCTATTGACTAGGGAACCTACAATTCAATGAGGATAAAGTGGTTGTTCACAAAGTAAGATGTGACAGATGAAGAAGAGATCACTTTATCCTACAAAACTCTTTCCTGTAAAAACAAAGCAAATAATATGCATAAAATCACAGAGCGACCAAATCACCCATATGCTTATGTGGGCTGCTTAGTTCATGAGATATAATGTGAGAGACCCTGAGCCGTGTCTCCTAACCTCACAGGACTCCTCTCTATGGCCTGACATCGGCAATTCTACACTGGGATGAAGTAGGAAGATCTTTTTAAGTTTTTGTTTGTTTGTTTTTAGCAGATGCTTTTGAAGAAGACCACTGACACTTTGCATTAATTATTACATTGTACATACTAAGTACACCTGGAAACAATAAAATTGCTTAGGTAGGTGGAATCTTTTAAAAGGGAAAAGCAACCTATTTATCATTTTGCCCAGACTTCCAATGAGACAGACATAGCCATATAAAACACAAAGGAAAATGGCTTGACACAGAGATTCAAGTGCATGCCCTGCTTGTGCCAACACGTGAGGAGGAAACTGCACACATAAGAATCTCAAGGAAGAGAGGCCTGCATGGCCCTCTGAGAGCTGCCCTTCTCCTAGCGTGGTTGCAAGAGGGAATTCTGGAATTTTGCTCTGCACTCTACTTTCTGCATGTTGTTGAGAGGTTGGCAGCTACAGAGGAAATCAAGCCATTTCCCAAGAATGGAGTATGATCTAGAGTTCATTGTAGAGTCTCCTAAGTGAGTGGGTGGGTATGCAAGAACTTAGTATTGGAATGTTAAGCTCAGAAAAATGTCTATACTTGATCGCTGCAAAATGTTCGTTAATCATTCTGGAACCCTTCAAACCTTAATCCAATCTTCCCTATTCAATGGCAAAAGTATATGTGTTCTCCAAAGTTGTGAAGAGAAACTTCCCTTTGGGAACATAAATTAGTATTTCAGGTCAGATACACTTTTAATTCCCGTTTTGGATGGTACTCACTAACTTGCTAAAAGTGAGAAAACATTTCTATCGCAATTTCTGATATTTTCCTTTAGGCACACTTTTGCAAGGGAGGGAGTTCTACCATTGTTTAAACACCTACTGCATGCCTGTTTGTCCACTCAGCTTTGCTCATTTCTTCCCCATACAACCTGCGTGATTGAGTATGAGCAGCATTGTGATAAAGAGCACTGGGTCCAACCCCAGACTCTGTACTAACAAGCACAATGACCCTGAATACTTCTGTATAAAGGAGCATGGTAACAGTATCTACCTGAGGAAGTGGTTGTAAGAATTATATTAGATGGGGCCGGTGCTGTGGCATAGTGGGTAAAGCCGCTGCTTGCAGTGCCAGCATCCCATATGGGTGCCTGTCCGAGTCCTGGTTGCTCCACTTCTGATCCAGCTCTCTGCTATGGCCTGGGAAAGCAGTAGAAGATGGCCCAAGTCCTTGGGCCCCTGCACCTGTGTGAGAGACCCAGAAGAAGCTCCTGACACCTGGCTTCGGATCAGCACAGCTCCAGCTGTTGTGACCAATTGGGGAGTGAACCAGAGGATGGAAGACACCTCTCTCTATCTGCCTCTCCTTCTCTCTCTGTGTAACTCTGACTTTCAAATAAATAAATAAATTTTTAATAAAAAGAGAGAATTATATTAGCTTTAGGGGACAATAGCTCAGCACCTTATCAATAATGAGCACTTAGTAACTGGATGCTCTTGCTTCATTGTCGTCCTCATTTTACAGGTAAGAAAATCGTATCTCAGAGAGCTTGGTAACTTGTCATATCTGAGAAATGTTAAGTATCTTTCTGAAGGTCACAATGTAACTAAATCATGAGACAGTGATAAAATCCTTTTATTTATCTAATTTCGGGTTTGTCCAATTCTAAAGTTTGTCTATTTCCTCACTATTTCATGTCTCTGTTGAATAATCTACTTCAGACACTCTATTCCAATTGCAAAGAATAATGGAATGATGCTTTTAAGAACTGGGGATCAATTTTTTTTTATCAACCTAAGAGTTCTGCACAAAAGCACTCCCTGGGTATTGCTGTGACACCAACAAATGGAGAATCTGTGCCCAAGACTCTAACAAACTATTTTGTAACTTTTAGTGATAGGTTGAAAATCTAATAATACTTAGTGAGGTAAAGAAATTTGCCAGGATTGAATACCTAGCAGGTGGCAGAGCCCTGACTGGAAGTGTGCATGGCCCTCACCATACTCCTGACTGCCCTGCTGGGCCATCCTCTTGTTTTGATAAAGTTTTCTATGTGTCCAGAATGAATTTTGTACAATATAAAGGGAAACCTTCAGCGACTGGATCCTAAGACTCAGGCTCTATTTTCTGTGCTTTTGTGAAATAAATGACATGAGAAGAAACATGTGGAACCAAAGAAACAACACATGAAACCAAACCAAGCTAGCAAATGAACCAGACAAGCTTGTGGATCTGTTTTGGAACAGGGAGAGAGTCATATAGTCAACCCATTCTCATGCCATCTACAGCTTCTGTATTTCTATGTTACTATGACTTTATTCCTGGAGACTATGTCTATGTATTTTAAGACATAAATTAGCTAGGACAGATTTAGTTTTCCTGAGTAAGTTCTTATTATGTCATAGAAGAAAACATAAAATTTCAGTAGATGTTTTGAAACAAAAAGTTCTTAATTCACCAGAAACCTTAGATATACTTAAGTGTTCCAGCTATGATTAATGATGCTTTTCAATAACTACAATTGGAATTCTTTTTATTATGGTTTATTATTTTATGGATTTAGTATATCATGGGTCAAATTTCATGTGCCCAAATAGAACAAACTCCAAAGAGAAACCAACTATGAGGTAAGGTTATCTATCTTTCAACACTAGGATTTTAAAGGCATGATTATGCAGCATTTACAGCAAATACAATTGGTGATTAAATTTTGAATACTTAAATAATTCCAAAACTTAAAAAAATATGATTTTACTGTGTACTAAATTTTATCTCAAAAGATTAAAAAAAAAGGAGCCACAAATTGTGAGCTCTAATAATAAGCAGCTAACATGTTCAGATAATTTCAAATAATTGGAAAGGGCATTTAAAAAAACATTGGGGGCCAGTGCTGTGGAGTACCAGGTTAAGCTGCCACTTACAATGCCAGCATTCCATATGTGCACTGGTTCAAGTCTCGGCTGGCCCACTTCTGATTCAGCTCCATGCTAATGTGCTTGGGAAAACAGCCAAACTTGGCTCAAGTGCTTGGGCCCCTCCATCCATGTGAGAGGCCAAAAGAAGCTCCTGGCTCCAAGCTTTGGTTTGGTTCAGCTCCAGCCATTGTGGCTACTTGAAAGTGAACCAGCAGGTGAAGATCTCTCTCTGCCTCTACTTCTCTCTCTCTCTCTCTGTAACTGTGCCTTTCAAATAAAATAAATAAATCTTTTTAAAAAAACATCGTTAAGTGGATATAGGGTTTGGGGCATAGACAGATATATGATAATTATTCATGTAGTAAAATATTAATGCAGAACTGAGATGGTGTGTATATAAATGAACACTGTACAGTTCCTTCAATTTACAGAAATTTGAAAATTTTTGACTCATGTTGGGACAAATACGAATGCATGGATTAAATTATTTGCAGTCAGATTTATTTAAAAGAAAACTCCAGAATATACTTATAGTATAGGAAATATAGCAGTAAGTGAAGCTGGTGCAAGAAAATATAGAATAAGGGACCAGCACTGTGGCATTGTGGGCTAGGCCTCCACCTGAGGCTCAGGCATCCCATATGGATGCAGGTTCGAGTCCTGGCTGCTCCACTTCTGATCCAGCTCTCTGCTATGGCCTGGGAAAGCAGCAGAAGATGGCTCAGGTATTGGGCCCCTGCACCCATGTGGGAGACCTAGAAAAAGCTCCTGGCTCCTGGCTTCAAATTGGCTTAGCTCTAGCTGTTGTGGCCATTTGGGGAGTGAACCAGAAGATGGAAGACTTCTATCTCTCTACCTCCATGCGATTCTCTGCCTTTCAAATAAATAAATTAAAAAAAGAAAAAGAAAAAGAAGAAAGAAAATGTAGAATTAGTAAAGGCATCAGTTGCAATTTATCTAGTGCCCAAGAACTGTACACAGCGCTTAATAGCGTTATCTAATTTAATTAAGGACTCATAAGTATCATTTGAAGTGTGGACTTTTTTCCTTCTTTTACAGGTTAGGAAACAAGTGTAAGAAGGTTGCATAACTTTCAGGAGAGTGTGCATTAAGAAGCACAGCTGAGAGTGAAACTGTATGAGTTTGCAGTCAGTGCTGTAAGCCACTGCATACCAAGGAAGGGAAATCTGAATTGGAGCTCTTTAGAGGTTTCCTAGTTCAATTTTTTCACCCCTCCTTACAAATGACACAAAGGTTTAGTAGCACCAGAATCCCAAAATTTCTATTCTTTGATCAAGATTTTTCCCACTTATCATGAGTGCACTTGTTTTACAAAATGGAATCACTACAGGATTCCTTTAAATAACAAATTTTCACAATACGGTATAACTATAATTTGATATACTATAATTTGATCTACACACTTTCTTTCAGGTGTCAAATATGTCATAAATATGGGCACCCTGATGTTATAAACAGTGTGTCCAAACTGTAGCATTAGCTTGAGCTTTTGCATGTACTCAAATTGTGTACATTTCCCCAATGGGAAAAATGCAGGAAATTCTGAAATACATATGTATTGCACGCACTGGAGTGAAAATACTATAATTCCAATAATTCTGGAAATTTTTTCACAGCTCAATTTCAACCCCAAAGATTTTCTGGGGATTGTGTTTTTTGAATTTCAGCAGTGGCTGATTTACACGGTGCAAATCACCTTTTAAAAAGCATAAACAGAAGAAAGAGATGTTGTGCGTTAAGAAGGGCAAGTTTATGACCTTTCATCCACTTGTGTCTCTCCCTTTTCCCCCAGATTTGCCTTCAGTACTGCAGGTCTGACACGGGCATGTGACAGCAATGAAGAAATGAAGGTCTCTATTAAGTCTTCTCTTAAACTTTAAATTCCCCAACTACTTTAATTAGTTGAGTGTTTGGCAACCTTGGAGTTAGAAGTACTGCATTTAAGATTCAGCTCTGTCTTTTATAGGGTGACTGTCAGTGAAACTCCTTTTCTTCTTAGTCATTTCTCATAAGCTATAAAGTAGTAACCTGACTGGGTTATTGCAGGCATCAAAAGAAAATAAAGTTATGATTAAAAAACATAAATATAAAAACTAAGAACAATGAAATACACAATTTAAAATTGTTTTCCATTTGTGACATTTTATATAAGGCATAATTATTATATATCTTTAGTATGTGCAGAACAGAATGGAAGTCGTGAAAGACAGTTTTCTATGACTCTCTTGCATATCTACACATCTTGTGGGTCAGACACTGATTGCCGTTATTACACACTTTCTTTTCCAGGTTTTTTTTTTTATAGCAACCTTGAAAGACAAAGATGTCTTCCTCTGGAACAAAATTCAGACATGCTTGCTGTCCAATATCAAAGATTTGGATTCCCTAATGTCGCATTTTCCGTCCTACAATACAACTTGTTGCCTATACACCTGTCTGTCTAGGATTATACATGTCATGCCATTGGAAATGGGTCTTGGGACACCATGCAAATGATGATACTGCTGGACTGCTGTGTGTAATAAGTCTCTGGTCTCTGACCAAGGAATCTTGTGTCTTTAACCACCTTGGTCGAATTAAGGCAAGTTAAATTGTTAGAAAGTAAGAGATAAAATCCAGACAATTCACAATTCCTGACAAGAAGTTGGGATGTAAAATGAAAGAATAGATTCTTCCTCTTATCATATCCTGAGATAACTTTTGCAAAATTTATGTCAATTTCTTTTGGAGGCTGGTGCCGCAGCTCACTTGGCTAATCCTCCACCTGCGGCACCGGCACCCCAGGTTCTAGTCCCGGTTGGGGTGCCAGATTCTGTCCCAGTTGCTCCTCTTCCGGTCCAGCTCTCTGCTGTGGCCAAGGAGTGCAGTGGAGGATGGCCCAAGTACTTGAGCCCTGCACCCCATGGGAGACCAGGAGAAGCACCTGGCTCCTCCTTCAGCGCAGCACGCTGGCTGCAGCGCACCAACCATAGTGGCCATTTGGGGGGTGAACCAACGGCAAAGGAAGACCTTTCTCTTTGTCTCTCTCTCTCACTGTCCACTCTGCCTGTCCAAAAAATAAAAAATAGAAAAGTTTTTTAAAAAATTTTCTTTTGGAGAGCGGGCAGCATGTCATATTGAGTAAGCTGTGCCGCCAGATGTGTTCTAATGCTGGTTAGGGTCTCTTTTAGTTTAGGTTTTCCCATAAGCAAACCCTGAGACAGGGACATATATGGGGTGATTGCACTGCTAGGGACTATGGAAAAAAGAAAGAGGAAAGAAGTCAGTCATAAATGACAAATTTTCAAGTAAGTTATGACTGTGGGCAGCTGAAGTGTAATGATTGGAAGCTCTTGGTAGCTAATACAGTATAGAGTGTGACCTCAGAGTTACCCCACCTGAAAGGTAAGGGAGCCGGGATATTGTATACAGTCAACTGAGTCATTAGTGAAGGGCTCCTGGGTGGTGGAAGTGAGGGGGTGAGGGTAGGGTAGGGCAGGTGCTGATTCCAATCCTGGATTTTGTGGCACTTCTTTTTGGGTGTGCATTATATTGATAAGACCCAAGGGAATATAGTTGGCAAACTTACAGCCTTGTCACAGACACCTTCTAGCCGTATATTCTTATGATGTTAATCTGTTTATGCTCCTGTCTCTTCATCTGCAAAATGGGAATAGTAGCACCAACCACACAGAATTGACAAGAGGATTAAAGACTCAATCCATGTAAAATATTTAAAACAGGTCATAGCACTTCATAAGCACTTAGTAAGATAGAAGAATAGAAGAATGTGATGTGATGTTTACTTTTTGCTTACTATTTTGTTTATACTATTCTTTGACGTGCTGGAGGTTGACTTCTAATGCCATAATGTACTAAATGCCTATGATGGACTCTTACAGTTTCAAGGTGTATTTATGCTTGACATTTGTCAAGGGGGCAACATCGACTGCCTCATGGGATGCACCAAGAATGATGTGTTCAAAATCTATTCCTATTTAGATTTCCTTAGAGAATTTATGGAGCTAAGCACTCCTGAACTCTTTAATTTAAAGATTTACTGCTCTGTCAAAGAAACTAATTAAATCTCATTTGAAGTGTCAGTAACACAGCAGCATTAGACTCAATTTTCTCTTCTATTATGGGAATGAGGATATAAAAAAGAATTGTATTTTAAACTCAATTTTCTATCATTATGTATCATTTATGTCAGACTCCTGTGAATCAACATCATAGTAACTATGGAAGTCACCAAACAAAATGCTCAAGAATGTTGGTAAGCCTAGATACCTTTTGATTCAGGTAAAATTCTACTATTAAACCAAACAGTGCAAGTAGGAAATTATAGCTCATGAGGAAAGAGCCCTGTATTTGCGGAGACCAACTCTTCAGAGATCTACACATTTGCCAATTTTATGACCCAGTAACATCCCTGGACTCCACCCCTTTCTATTCTCTTTTTCTATTTGATAAGACAACAGTCCTCTGGCCTTACTCTGTCTGGACTCTTGACTTCATCTTTTAAGATCTCAGTCACATTGACACATTTCCTATGTCTTTACATTAAGGAAAATTGCTGAAGAATCCCCCCCATCCATCTTTTATTTTTGCAGTTGCTCATTTAGCATTCTTCGCTTTGTCTAAGAACATCTTAATATAACATACATTTGAGCATTTTAAAAATTAATAAAATTATAATCTTTCTACAAATGTTTTAAGTGCTTAGGCTTTAATAAAATTTTTTCCCAGCTACTATTTTTTCACATTAAATATCTTATGTTTGAGCTGTATTATGTGATACTTAATTTTTATTATAGACTAAAATGAATTGAATAAAAACTGCAAACTTTCTTTTTATCCATTAGACAACTTTTAAAAATATTTATTTATTTGAGAGAGGAAAAATACCAGAATACCTTTCTGCTGGTTTGCTCTTTAAATGCCCAAAATGTTTGGGGCTGGACCAAGGCCAAAGCTTCAAGTGGGAACTCATGCAGGTCTTCTGTGTGGGTGGCAGGGACCCAGTCACTTGATCCATCACTGCCGCCTTCCAGGGTCTTCACAAGCAGGAAGCTGAGATCAGCAACTGGAGCTGGGAAGCAAACTTCAATGTGGATGCAGTGTCTGAATCAATATCTTAACCACTAGATAAACACCTGTCCCAACTTTCTTTTTTTTATTTTTTGATGTCTTATGTACATACATCATTCTTCTTAGTAGAAGGTATAATGAAGTTTCCCATAAATTTAACCCATATATAACATGGCATTATTTTCATTTATTGAAATTTCCTGGTGTTCTTTCTCCCTACTCAAAATCAGGTTAATAATATACATTTACACAACTACATTTCTATAGATAATATGAATTAAATGTTTTTATCTTAAATGGGATATTCAGGCTATTAGAAAAAATAATTAAATCCCACAGTTAACCTATACTTTTTGAATAAAGCATACAACAAATTACATTTTTAAGAACTCCAGATTATATTACAGACTTATAGGTTAAGGAGTGTTTCTTTTTAAGATTTATTTATTTATTTGAAAGGCAGAGTTACAAATAGCACAGGCAGAGGCTGAGAGAAAGGTCTTCACTCCCCAAGTGTCTGCAATGGCCAGATCTGCACTGATCCAAAGCCAGGGGCCAGGAATTTCTTTCAGGTTTCCCACATGGGTGCAGGGGCCCAAACACTTGTGCCATCTTCTACTGCTTTCCCAGGCCATAGCAGAAAGCTGGATGGGAAGTAGAGCAGCTGGGTCTCAAAGTCCATAGGGGATGCCAGCACTGCTGGCAGGGGCTTTACCTGCTGCACCACGGTGCCAGCTCAGGGAGTGTTTTAATATTTTAAGATGTTTTAAACAGTCTTCTAGTGCATGTATGTGATTATAAAAATAATATGACAGAAATCACTGAACTCTCTGCTCTTTGTCAGCTCACTTATGGAAGTTCAGAAACGGAAAGACTCCTACTAACTTTGAAGTCCATTGCTTCAAAGCATCAGTGTCAAACTGGACTAGCAAAGAAGCATTGGCATTTTGGCACTGTAAAAACTCAAGTTCCAGCACGATGACAAAGCAGGCAAAATTGTATTTCCAGATCATGTATTTACTGAGACCAGCCCAAAAGAACTTGAAGAACTTAGGAGATGCTACCAACTTTGAAGACCATAGCTTCAAGGGAAACTGAATTAGCAAAGAGTGTCATGTCCATGCTGAAGTCCCAAAGGAATGACAACGGCCGGCGCCGCGGCTCACTAGGCTAATCCTCCACCTAGCGGCGCCGGCACACCGGGTTCTAGTCCCGGTCAGGGCGCCGGATTCTGTCCCGGTTGCCCCTCTTCCAGCCCAGCCCTCTGCTGTGGCTAGGGAGTGCAGTGGAGGATGGCCCAGGTGCTTGGGCCCTGCACCCCATGGGAGACCAGGAGAAGCACCTGGCTCCTGGCTCCTGCCATCGGATCAGCGCGGTGCGCCGGCTGCAGCGCGCCAGCCGCGGCGGCCATTGGAGGGTGAACCAACGGCAAAGGAAGACCTTTCTCTCTGTCTCTCTCTCTCACTGTCCACTCTGCCTGTCAAAAAAAAAAAAAAAAAAAAAAAAAGGAATGACAACGCAGGCTAAAGGTGTATTTGGAGACACAACTGCCTCTTCTTTCTGCACCATCTCTTCTAACTCCCCCTCCCCAAGCATTTATTTAAGTTGCAAAAAGCCTTCCAAATTCTTCTGAAATGGAAACATCAAACCAGGTCCTCTGAAAATGGATTTCCATTTATGCCTTTTC